GCGTCCATGGAATCCGAAATGGGTGAAGCTCTCAGTGCTGAAATCCACCTCTTTGATTTCTTTTCTTCCATATTCCCTCCTATTTTGTATTCTTCGCGGCAATTCCTCTCTGTGGGCACTTCTTTTTCTCTGAAAATCAAAGATTACTCCTCTCCTAATCCATGTACAAGTCTATTCTCAGAAGTGTGTAAAGGAAAATATTGATTCATACACTCGAACGCCAATAATCTATAATTAGGTTATTCCAAGAAAAGATCGTACTTTTCTTAGAATTCTCTTCTCAATGGAGAACCTACTTGCGCAACAACAAAAACAACAACGAAAAAAAAGCTCATATCGTACATAGAAAACGAGTGATTCGACAAGAATCACGCTCATTGTGTGCAGAACTGGTTTCAATTCACGTCCACTTATTATAACTAAACATATCTCTGCTTAAGGTGTTAAAGCTTTATTGGAACATTTAACAAACATCTTTATTTTAATGTGATCTCAGCATCGTTTTATTCAATCTATGCCTTCTCTCGAAATATGTTGATCACTATCGCGGGCAATTTAGCTTGCAGATCAAAGCTCAAAACCGGACAAGGGCAATCTTTTATCCCCAACTTGACGATTATCTCGCAGAGAACGTGATCAATTAAGTTCTCCTCAGCATTTCGACACACCGCGAGCAATCCCAAGTATAGCACAATGAGAGAGCCTCAAAATGTGGGCTCTCTTCGTCATTCCAAGAGTATATTGATGATGATAGGCGAATAGAAAAGTGCCAAAATATGAAACGTAGTTAGACTTTTTTCTGCAATATGGGAAAGGAAAACAAAGATTGCGATAAAGTTATCATGTTTGCATTAAAAATTTTCGCGATTCCAACCACTTTGGGGAGGCACAACTGATTAGCCGTAACGAGTTTTGGCTGGAAATTCACTTCAATCAGCTATATTTCTGTCCGCAAGCTTAAACTTTAAAAATAACTCGGTTTTTTTCCACCTCCGTCATTTATTGCATGTTACACGATTGATTACTTCTCTTCACGTGATTAACACCAAATTGGATGGTGTATTTTTTTTGTTGGGTGGAAGGAAAAATATTAGAGTCTTTTCAATGGTTTTCAAGTTGAGATTCGTGGCATGCAATTCCTCGTCGGTTTTTCTGCTTCTAATGGCTCTCTGCCAGTCATGTGTGGACTTGATGGAATGCTGGATGATTCAATGAGAGAGGAAACTTCAAGTGGGATCACTTTGGGCTGAAATACTGACTGTCCAAATACAAAACTTACACAATCTCACCGCGATTCGCAACAAATTGAGCAACATTTCGTCCACACACAGTCTCACATTCAGCACACATTTTATACCAGTTTAGCCACTCAAAATGTTCATTTACATAATTTTGACAGAGCACGTTTGTGCCAATGTCAAGGCTAAAGTTTTGCACGATTAGATAATATTGCTTTGCGTGGATGTGTAAGAATGATTTTGGTGTGTATGAAGAAATGGAAATAGAAGAGGTAGAAAAACAGTGTTGAGGAATACAAAACTGCTTTTTTATAGATGTATTTAAACTGTGTTTTTTTTATCAGAACACAACACAGAAACTCTTCTGGCAACCACCGAAAAATTTCAGAACTTAATACTTTCGCATTGTTTGTGTTGTGAAGGAATTGGCTGAAATGTAAACAATTAAGTGAAATACTATTTTTACTATGGAAGTGTAATATATATATTTGGATTTTTTTGTTGATATATAAATAAAAATGCCTTTATTGCTGAGTGAAGCGCACATTGATGGTGGGCGGAATATAATTGATCAATTGAGGATCACCTAGGCGTGACTTGTTGACTTGTTTACGGCTGAAGATCACTTGAGATGCGTGCTGCAGAGGTGCGTTCGAGAATCTATCCGCGCACTTCCTTCTTCTCGTGTGTGTTTCCCACAAAAGCGCGCTAATGTGAATTCGTCATGGTGATCGTCGCCAGATATTCTGTGTCGAAAAAATTTCGCGAGTTGCCACTTGGGTTGGCGGGGAAAAAAAAGAAGGCAGAACAAATACAAAATACAAAAGCCACACATCAACAAGTCTCACTCTCTTGGAGCGCATTTCAAATAAGGAGGGAAATGCTTGTGTATATGAGACAATCTATGAGAGAGTATAATGTGGCTCACAAATGTCAGGCGACCTTCAAAGTTGTTCAAAACAATTTTTTTGTTGCGCAAATCTTTTATTAGATATGCGGTGAATTAAAATAAAATTTTGATCCATCACGGCAGCTCAAAGTGGGAATTTTCACTCTTCGACACACTTTTGGTGCGATTATTCACAGAAGCGCGCTCACATGGACACCCAAAGACATCCTCCACCGGCAAAGGGAGCCTTTGTCCGCCGCTCCCTGCCTTGCTCGAATCGCCGATTTGAACGCGGCCCACGTCACGTCGGCGCGGTTTTTTCGCCGATAGAGTGAAAGTGAAAAGCTTTCTCCGGGGACGTCCGGTGCGATAACATGCGGTTTCTTTCTGGCGTCGCCGGCTCTTATCCACTCACTCCGGAGCCAAAGCCCTCCGGCCAGTTTCTCCGAGTGCGCAGAATGTGCTCCACAGCATCATCACCCACATACGCGCGCAAACTGGCCGTCCGATGAAATGTCAACGGCACCCATACTTGGCATTAATCAATGCAGTTTATTCAATTTGAATACATAATTGATTTGATCTCGAGAAAAGTATAATTTCAGATCTTACGTCAGCGTGTTTACAGTTTATTCAGGTTTTTTTTCACGCGGCAAAAAAGCGCGAGATGTAGTCTTGCCGAGTATAAATGTGCTGCAATTAGATGTTGTATCGCACAATTTAATTGCAGGTCATTAAATGGCTCAAAATATTAGCTAATGAATGGAGTTTTTGATTGTTTGTCGCGCACAGTGGACAGGAAATTATTTTAGAGAGCGCAATTCAAAGTGTCAAGGATAATAAATTTGCTGGGAAATTCTATGATGTTTAACAATTTCTTTGGATGAATTAAGTGAAATTGAATTTGGTGTAAAAGTACAGCGAAAAGAGCGCCTGTAATATTTGCTCATATCAAGTTTACTGATGGCAAAGCTCTGTGAAATGTGACAAAGTGGTGCAAAATTTTCTGCAAGATAATTTGGCAGGTTTTATAATACTGTTTGTTTACAAAAGGGTTATTCACTGTCGCTATTTTTAAATTACTTTATCAGTGCTCTTTTTTTTATTCTCCCAATTTGAACGAAAGCCAATTAATTTTTATACACACACTTCTAATGCCTCCTCTCTTTAAATTTGGCTACGCGCGAAGATCAACTTTGGAATTACACAGCCGAATAGTCGCGCAATAAAGTTCACAGAGAGAGAGTTTTGTAACAATTGTATGAGAAAAGTCTCACTGTAAATATAGCGGAATATTCATTTGTAAAAATACCCACGGAGAGGATGAGTTGGACCATTTGGCGGATAGTTATTAAAATATCTCCTGTCTGATCATTTACATTGGCGCTGCGGCTCTCTGTGCAAACTTTCTCAATGCCCAGGGAGTGGTGAAAGTTGAAATTCTCCCAGGACGAGCGGGTGGAGATTAGATTGAATGAGAAGTCCATTAGTGTGTAGACAGAAATCACGGCACGAAGAAGTTGGCCGCTTTATTTATTATCCCTGCACAATATTGTACGTTCATTCGTGGTCATTCAGTGGCCACAATAATAATTTATTGTGCACGCTGGGTGGGATGGATACTAATGACTGGATGAGAAAACAAAACCCACACGGGAAATTGAAGTGGCCGTCCTTGGGAAGGGGAATATGAGAGAAACTTGCAGCCCGTCCTTCGTCCTGTCGGGCATTTGGGGAATTCCTTTGGCTGCGGCGCGCGGAAATGTGGCGTGGGTGCACGTGGAAGTGAATTCCATTTAGAGTGATAAATAGTGTGAAATCGATACGGCGAGGCGATAAAGGTGGCTTTTATCGGGTGTCTGAGCGTCTCAATGGCTGTCTTGGCGTGCCCGGGGAGGAAATTGAGATTTGGGCGTGAGGTGAAGACAGCCAAGTGGGAATTCAAGCGGAGACACCCATTGATTTCCCCCGTGTCGCCCTTCCGGGGGGTGAATTCCGAGGGAGAATTGATGGAATCTGCATCGCGACCATTCACTGTGCAGGTGAAGTTTTTTCGCGATGGCTTCGGCCCCAGATTGGCGACCGCCGCAATCTCTGTAATGGCTCTAATGGGTTGTTTTCGTCTATTTCATGACCCAAATCCGCCTAATGGACCATTCCATGTAATGGATATTGTACCCATCGAGTGAATCAATCATAGTCGCGCCACCATCAACTGATCGATGAATTCCAGTGATAAATCTTAAAACTAATTTCATACTTGACATGGCATGTGGGGTGTGATGTCACTTTCTCAACTCCAAGGGCGATGGCATATAAACGAATTTCCAGTTGCTCTCATCCACGAGTCGAATCTTCGTGAAACTTTTCTTCACACAGCGGAGGGAAAAGATGCTCTTCTCCATTTCTCATGCGACGCTGCTGCGAAAAATCCAACCTAATTGTATTATTCTGAATTTTGACTAAATTTATCTTGACTCACATTTCACGGAATGGATTTTGGCAAATGCGATTTTGCCAGAAATGTTTGTACTTAATGGAGAAACTCCAATTGCACGACTGCTGGAGAATATTTACAAGTAAATAACCCGGAATGGAGGCTGAAACTTTCACCGAAAATTGCTCCCATCCAAATGATCCACCTTTGGAAGTTTGGAATCCTCTGAATTTGACACTCACTCGAGGGTTTGAGTTGCATGTGCAAGAAGTGGCAAGATAGAGAGATACACTCAGAGTTGATTGCTCCCTAATCCATCTGAGAGACAAGTTTCTCGGTCTTGCTGAGATTGAGATTGATGAAGGTCTAATAGTTTATCTTTTGATAATCCATGCGAGGCATCCCTTGTAATTGATTGCCATTTATCTCGTTGCAGTGCTGGCTCCGGATGCAATGGCATCTTCTCGCGCCGCTTGGACTTCTCCAGCTTCAACTTGTTGCCGAAGACGCGCCTCAACTCCTATCAAATTAAGGTACGTAGAGCGCGCGTGCATCTCTCTTGTGTCTATTAATAGTGCCCAGATGGGCTCGAGCGGAGATGCATCGGAGGCCACGGAGGCCAGCTGATTGACGATGCGAAGGCCAGCGAGAGCCTCCCCACTAATTTCCTCCTGATGTTTACCGAATTTTGTGGGCATGTAGTGGCGGAGATGACGCGGAGGTGTTGTTAAAAATAAAATGGATAATCTTATTTTTATCTGCTGCCGGTGCAGAAAAATGTAAACACATCGAGCCAAGCGCTATTGAAACTAAACAGACGATGGAATGTTTTCCAAATCGCAGCGAGAGTGATTCGGAATTCTCATTATCCTTGCAAGAGTATCACTTTTTCAAAGTGCGCCTCACCTTTCCCCACGGGCAAACATTGCACACGATTTTGTCGCCGGGACTGTGCGTAGGATGGTAATTGTTCCCCATGTTGGGACGAGAATAGAGGTGGCATTAAGAACATTAACAGCATGAGTTCGAAGTGAATAAGCACAATTTGCTTAAATGTCGTCATTGTGCAGCAAATCACCAGAAGTTACCAATCATCGCTCTCACATAAATATGCATCCATGCCCCAATATAGCAATAACCGTATGACAATTTAGTGACTAACTAGTGATTTATGAATTGACGCGTGTGGGTGATCAGATTTAATTCTCACCTCGACCCAAATGCACTTGACGAGCGCGAGTCTGTGTGATTTTTCCCGCTGAGACATTTCCTTGCCAGACATCATCACCCACACGACGCAGTCTCTCGTGTCTCTCTGGCGAGATGATTTGGTGTGCGAGGAAAGAAGGACCATTGGAGAAGAAGTCCAATTGACCACCAGCAATTTGTCTGCGGAATATTGAATTACGCTCTCTTCGCATTCCACCACGATCTCGTACTCATATTGATATCGTGCCCGAAATTGCTGAGAAAATTGCAAAAGATAAGGTGGCTGTCGCATGGAAATATCTCTATATAGCTCCACAGGTCTTCTCTGCACCGAAAGAGAGAGAGAAATTGAATATGTACCACACATCCACAAATAATTCCGTGAGGGCGGATGGAGAGAGAGAGAGAGCGAGAAACAATGAAACATTTCCAGCAATTTCCAAACTGATCCGGCGGTCCTCAAACTCGACACCTCTGAATATTTGATTACCGTTTGTCTGAACTCTTGGCTCATGGTGTTTCTCTCATAAAAGCCATGTTTAATGCAGCATCTACGAAGCTCGGGCAGACTGGCAAAGCTCTCCCTCAATGACTCCATATATGAACTCTCGCATGCGATGTGCAGCATTTTGCCACCATCAAGATATTTCCCCAAAAGCTCGCCGCCCCTCGCACTGCCACCCTCTGGCCGAGCGCCTTGCCAAAAAATGTGAGAAACACATATGAATGTTTTGTGATTCCATCATACAATTCCAGCAGTCACATAACTTCGGGAAGGGGAGAAAAGAATTCTCTCTGCATTATAGATGAAGGGGTGAAGTCGGAGATGTGCGGCGGTGTGTATACCGCAATTTAGAAATGAGGAACAGTATTTAGACAGACGTTGGCATCCTTGAGAATTGAAGGTTACTGACTTGTCGTTGTTCTCGGAAAAGAAAAGCTCCACCAGAGAGGGTGGGACTTAGAAGACGATCCCACCTGAATTTCTCACCACGCTCTCGAATTCACTGTGCGGCAAATATTTCGCCGAAGCATGAGAAGCACACAGCACCATTACCGTCATGTTCAGGTCACAACATCGACCCGAAAATGTGAATATCCCTTGTGAGGATTCTATTAAATTACACCCAAATTTGCGCAGAAAACAATAACGCTGTGAAAGGTGAATTTAATTTAATGAAAATATTGAAGGAAATTTACTCAAGTCTTCACCCATTGTCGCAGCCGTAAAAATACAACGTTAATCCCCATCCTCAGTGCCCATTGCGAATTGCTTTAAAGGAATATTGCTGTCATTTCTACTTAAAATTTAATTACGCTCGCCATTCTCTCCCGAAGAAGAAAAAAAGAAACAGATTCGGCAATGGCACAAGGACGCATTCGTTCCATTTGCCAGTGCCATTGACTATATTGGGTGTAGAGCCAGTCATTTGAGAAAGCCCCAGATAAACCAATGAAAATCTGTTCTTCTCAAATTGTAAACGCTTTAATTTCACGGTACGTTTCGCATCTAATGCCAGGAATGGTGCTTGTGAAAAAGTGCAAAATGTACATTGGGAGTGATGCTCTAAAAAAGCTCCCCTTGTATGTAAATGCATGTGGCATTTGCTGCGAAAATGGCTGCTTTTATCCCCCTTTATTTGCCGTTAATATTAAAAGCACATCGTGTTCACTAACTAGTCGAAATGCTATGTTCAGCTGGTGTATTCATGGCTCCTTTTTATGCCCTCCACTCTCGCCACACCCCTGCCATTGGGCATGGCTTTCTTGCGAGAGCAGAAAGCTCTGGCATGTGAGGAAAAAGCTTCTAAATTGTAATTAGTACGCTATGGCCACTAGCAGAAGAGCATATGGCTGTTGGCGACAAGTCGGACTTTGCTGTGCGGAAGAGCAATGCCATGGACATTATATGGTAATTAGAGTGTGAGCAGATTAAGCACACGCTCAATGCACTCCAATTGATAAGACAATAGTCTTGGCGCTGCGCCAAAGACGCTGTGCCAGAGAGACTGGCTCAAGACGTCCGTGCAAGGGGTCTGTCCGAAGGGTGGACAAGGGGAAGGTTATTAATAAATCATTCCTGACGAGATGAGTATGTTTGCTGACGTCATTGTCGTCTCGGTTGGGAATTTAGCGTTAAATTAACGCTCCAACACACTCGATTTAAATTTTGTGTTTGCATTGTGAAAAGCTGGCAACATTAATATCACATTTGTCTTCAGGACATCTTATTAAAAGTGGAATTGCAGAGCGCCCTGAGAGTGTGAAGTTCTCACTGCATTTTTGATCTCCTCTCAAATTGCAATTGTATTCATTTAACTCACTCTGTGGCAGTCTGAGTTATGATTTTAAAGCAAACCATTAACTAACAGATGTAGCATTTTTTCATGCACTAACTGAATGTGACTTGACGTTTAGAGTGTATTTGATCCGATGACCATCTCGTTCCTGCGCTCCAAATGGTGGCAATATTTTACGTTCGCTCAAATGCGATTGTGCTGGAGGATTTTTCTCCATGGGTGGAAATGAAGAAGAGGAAAAAAAAGAAAGGGAGTTTGATACCGTTCCACTTCATTAAATTGATTGCTCCATAGTCCCCAGTTCATATAGCATTGAGTCCAGGAACGTCGTCTGGGTCGTGGAGATCTAATTTATTTAATGAAGCATTCCTTCGCGCCACACAATAAGGAGCACACTCCTCGGAATATTCTAACTACATACTAAATATGAATGAAATGATGGAGGCGGTGAGAGTGTGATCAAATTAGTCCAGTGCCGAAAGTCTCAAGAATATCGGAAAGCTGGTCTCCTGGGCCGTCCTTTCTCAAACTTTTCCAACCCCCTTTGCGACTCTCGTCCTGTGCAGACCTTCGAGGATCCGCATGAAAGTCGTAAAATTAGGAGGTTGGATTTTGTGGACGCTGGAAGTTTTTGCTCGGCACACAATGGCGGGAAAAGTTTCGGATCATTAAAATGCACTCGAAGTGCAGAGATATAAAATTCACACAATGACGCCACCGGTAATCATTGGAGTTTGTGAGGGCAGCGAAGTGAAGAATATGGTGGCTGTATCCGTCTGATTTGACTATTTGTCAACTCCTCTGGTGGAAGTTAATTTGGTGCTAATTAAAATCCACAGTGCCCCGTTTCGGGTGAGGGAGGCGGCACACTCCATCCGGGTGGGGCGTCCGATACGTGAGGAGCACACGAAATCTCCGGGCGCAACAAAGGCATTAGAGAGACGAGAGGGAGCATCATGTGGCAAAGGTGGTGGAGGGTGAATAAAATCGATTTAATGCCAGTGGCAGAAACACACGATAAGATGGAGCTATTCAATTTTGTAGCATCCAATGGTCCATAGTTGATCCCTACGGATGAATTTATCCTGCCGTAATGTGGCAGCTCCTCGGACATGGACATATGTGAGTGTATGGTGGGTATCCTGGGACATGTCGGGCTCAGACAACACACCACCCACTCCGCCCTCACCTGACCGGGGGCCGCTCGCAAATGACCAGCAGCGTGAGCGATGGGGCTTCTCTGTCTGTCATAAATGCTGCTGTGCCGTGGCGGTCCATTTGTCAAATTAGATTGAGTGGGAGCCACTGCAACAATTGATTTGATTTCATCGCTTTTTGCACACCCAGAAAATGAGCTTCTGATGAGGCTTCTCGGGGGACGAGAGCAAGGTGAGAGCGCGCCGTAGGACTCAAGGGCAATAAAAATGTTTACGACGATGGACACTGCAGTGCGAGCTTTCTTTACAGCCAACAGACACCCGGCACGGCCACATCCCATTGGCAAGGGAGCACGTGTCTTCGATTTTATGGTCTTGGGCGACATCGTCATATCCGTTCAGAACATGTCATTTTCACCATTCGTTAAACTCCCAGTCGCCGAGGTGATACAATCGATCGTTCACCCCATGAAGAGGGTGTCCTTATTGGGGGCGTCAGGGATTTCCTCTCCCGCATGTCCACCCACACTCGCCCGCCCGCATATTCAGGACAACATTACCGTCCATCCGTGGCTAAGACGTGTACTTGGGGAATTTATTTGGAGTGCATAATGGAAAATAATAAATTTATGTGTATCGAACTCGGTCGTCTCCAGTGACCACAATTCCACCCCCTTCGCCCGCCGGGGTGGTGAGAATAAATGGTTGTGGCTCGCGAACGGTGTGCGCCGCACTCACAATTTTCTTACTTGAGAAAACGCACAAACTTACTCAATATTGTATGTGATTATTGGTGAAGACTTGTGGCAGGTCTGGATCGTCTCGGATTTCTGTTTGTCCATAAGTCACGAACAATTGGCTTATTGT